CTGGTGCCTGGTCCTGGATCTTTCTCTGTAACTCCCTCTGCAGCCCTCCTGCCTCCAGTCTGGATCTAGCAGTTCCCGGTTTCTGGGGCCAACCCCCTTGAAGGCCCCAGTTCTCTGCCCGCTGTCAGCCTGCTGCCCGCCTGCTGCCTGCCCACTGCCAGCCCTGGGGCGTCCCCTCCCACCCCACGGCTGGCCCGGGAGGCCACAAAGGCGCTATTGAGCTCAGGGCTCCTGGACCGGGCTGCATAAAGGCCCTTGTGTCCAGCGGAGGGTCCAGGGGTGGCCCCAGGCCCGGGATGGGTGTGTCCTTATAGCAGCCTGAGGGGGCGGATCGAGAATTCGAGGTATACAGCCCATTGGGCAAGTGATGACCTAGCCTCCTCCTTGGGCTCTAACCCTCACCTCTCCCCCAGCCCCTCCCCATGTGCCCCTTCCTCCTCTCCGTGGGAGTCCTGAGCCTGTCGTGAACTTGACCCCCGTCCCCTACCCCACAGACTAGGAAACTGTCTCGAGCCGAGCGGCAGCGATTCTCTGAGGAAGTGGAGATGCTCAAGGGGCTGCAGCACCCCAACATTGTCCGCTTCTATGACTCGTGGAAGTCAGTGCTGAGGGGCCAGGTTTGCATCGTGCTGGTCACCGAACTCATGACCTCCGGCACCCTGAAGACGTGAGCTCTGTGCCTGGTGGTAGTGTTGGTTGGTGGGAGAGCTGGTGGTGGGAGGTCCCCACTGCTTCTGGAACCTCTCCCACGCTCCTCAAACTCTATATTTAGGTCCAAAACCAGGCTTGCTACCTCTCACCCGTCCCTACTGCATCCCTGCCTTACTGAATGGCAGTGTCCACCCAGCACGCCAGCCAAAACCCGATCTCCCCAGATGCCATCTTTATCTCCATTCTGTGCATCCGCCTTCCCCCATCAGTATGTCTCCAAGGCCTCCTTATAATTCCCCACTCTGCCTTCCCAGTTCCATCCACTGCCACCTCACTGGTCTGGAGCCCTGCAGCAGTGCCCTCTCGGGCCTTCCCCAACTCTGCCCTCACCTTTCCAATCTATCCTATCTTCCTGCAGTCTGGGGAATCTCTCCATTCCTTAAAACCCCTTCAAGGCTTCCCACCACCCTCAGGTTAAAGCCCACACTCTCTGACCTACTCACAGAGTCCTTAGGACTTAGCCTCATCTTGAACCTAGATTCCACAGGAACCGAATTCCCAGCACCTCCTCCCACCCTGCCCTGTCGCTGTCTCCATGCCTTTCAGCACAGTGTCCCCTCTGCCTGGAAAGTCTCCATCCCTTCCCTTTTCACCCTTGAACCCCTACTCATTCTTCAGGACGCAACATAAAAGTTATTTCCTCTCTGAAGCCCTCCCCCACGCCCAGGGCGGTTAGTCATCCCTTCCCGCACTCCCCAGCCCCTTTGGCGCAGCCCTATCTGTAAGTTTACCGCCGGACCCGTTTTGTACTCTCACGGCTAGCTCCCACACCCCGGACTCAGTTTCTCTCTGGAGCGCGGCGAGGACCTGAGCTAGAATAATGCTGGCAGAAGATGTGTAGGCGGTGGTGCCAGTGGGACCAGGGGAACTTCCCAGCGGGGGTCCCCTCCCCCGCCTCCGTGTCCCCGCCACGACCCTGGCTACGTGCCTTTCCCGCAGATACCTGAGGCGGTTCCGCGAGATGAAGCCGCGAGTCCTTCAGCGCTGGAGCCGCCAGATCCTTCGGGGGCTTCATTTCCTACACTCCCGGGTACCCCCCATTCTGCACCGGGATCTCAAGTGCGACAACGTCTTTATCACGGGCCCTTCAGGTTCGGTCAAGATCGGCGACCTGGGCCTGGCCACGCTCAAGCGCGCCTCCTTTGCCAAGAGCGTGATCGGTTAGTCCCTCCAGGATCCTTGCTATCCCCCCCCTCCCCCCGATCCGCGTCAGAAGAGAGCCTGGGGGCCCTCTCTTCCCAGCAGGGCCCTTTGAGTTGCACGGAGTTAGAAGAGCATGGGGAACATGGGGAGACCTATAGCATCCTTTCCACCCACCCCCAACACACACACAGTGGGGAAGTGTCCGTCACTATCACTTCAGAACTCTCCAGGTTGCCCCCTCCCCGCACCCCCTGGCTAGCTGTTGGTACGCCCAAGAGGAGGGACGAAGCCAGAGGAAGGCTCTGTAGCCTGATGCCTGCTGTGGATCCTACAGGGACCCCGGAGTTCATGGCCCCTGAGATGTACGAGGAAAAGTACGACGAGGCCGTGGACGTGTACGCGTTTGGCATGTGCATGCTGGAGATGGCCACCTCAGAGTACCCTTACTCCGAGTGCCAGAATGCCGCCCAAATCTACCGCAAGGTCACTTCGGTGAGAGGGGGTGGGGAGGACAGAGAATTGCAGGTCACCTCCCATTTTCCTGCCCCAACCAGCCCGCGGTCAATGCCGTTTCCCTTAAAGTAAACAGGCTAGACACGAAGATGCTCTGGTAAACACTGAAGGGTATTGGATGCACACACGCCCCCCGCCCCAGTACTAGCTGTTTAGAATAATAACGTGTGTAGCGCTCCCTAGAGTTTACAAACGATTTCACATCTGATCTTCCACCCGCAGGGTGAGCAGGGAGGGCCTCTTCTCTGCCCTGTGCTTTACAAATGGGAAAACTGGCACACAGGGAGACTTGTTCAAGGTCATACTGTCGATACGTGGGGGGACGGAGATTTGAAATCAAACCGTCTAGTAGCTGTCGCGGTGCTTTTAGGATTGCACGCCCTGTTGCCTCGGGCGGGATGGGGGGCAAGCAGAGAGCTGGGGCGCGAGGCCTCATGCAACCCCTTTCCTCCAGGGCACAAAGCCGAACAGCTTCTACAAGGTGAAGATGCCCGAGGTGAAGGAGATCATTGAAGGCTGCATCCGCACGGATAAGAACGAGAGGTGGGGTGGAGGGGGCAGGGTGTGTGTTGGGGGAGATTGGGGGTGGCGGACGGGCTGCGGCAAGGCTCGGCTCACCCGCACCGCCCTCAGGTTCACCATCCAGGACCTCCTGGCTCACGCCTTCTTCCGCGAGGAGCGCGGCGTGCACGTGGAGCTGGCGGAGGAGGACGACGGGGAGAAGCCCGGCCTCAAGCTCTGGCTGCGCATGGAGGACGCGCGGCGCGGGGGGCGCCCACGGGACAACCAGGCCATAGAGTTCCTGTTCCAGCTGGGCCGGGACGCGGCAGAGGAGGTGGCGCAGGAGATGGTGAGCAGAGGACAGACTGCCCTGCGGCTGGGCTTGGGGAGGGGGGGGCGGCGGAGCCTGTGGGCGTCGACTGGAGGGGCCGGGTGGGGCGGGGCGGTGGCAGAGGCACCCAGCTCAGCCCTCTCAGGTTGTCTTGTAAGTACCCCCTTGCCCCTCCCGCCTTAACACACCCACACACACACCCAGTGTGCAGACTCGCTGAAGATTTCCTTTTCCAGATCAAGCCTGGGGTCCTCCAGCCTCCCTTGCTCTACTTCCTGCTGATCCAATTTTCCTGGAATGCTCTTTTCTCCAATTTATCTAATTATTTTTCTCTTTTTTATCCTTCCCCCACCTTGTCGTCCCCCCCTCCCCATCTTCCTCCATGCTCAGAACCATGAATTTCAGGAAACCTGTTCCCTCTAGAGTCAAAATTAAATGCTTCTTTCCACTTCAACAGGTTCTCCATTACAGGACCCACCACCGTCGGTCTTGTTTTATACCAGGAGACATTCCTGTCTCTCTCCTCTACTAGACTATAAAATTCCTTGAGGGCAGAGACTGTGTTCTGTTGATTTTTCTATCTCTGACAGTGCTTGGCACATGGTTGGAGCTCTTTAATAATCCCCCATTTGTACATGGTTTAGAGCACTTTCACCTGCATTCGACTGTTGTTACCAACCCTGCATGGAGTGATTTTATCCTGATGTACTGATGAGGAGATGGAGGGCTCAAAGAGGTTGAATATCTTGTCCAAGGTCCTCAGCGAGTAAGTGGCAGAGCTAGATTTAAACTCAGGCCGTTCAGATTTTAAGTCAGATCACCCCACCCCACCTTCCTTACATGCATAGTGAAGCTTGTCCTTGAGATGAATAAGGAGATGATGAACAGAAGCTTCCAGACATGAGAGGCATACCTGGGAAGTAGAAGATGCAGAGCTGGTTTAGGAAGGCCGGAAGTGGGTGCGGGGAGGAAGAGAGTATGACATTCCCCCCTCTTTTTTTTTTAAGATTTTATTTATTTATTTGAGAAAGAGAGTGACAGAGAAAAAGCATGAGAGGGGGAAGGGTCAGAGGGAAGAAGCAGACTCCCCGCCGAGCAGGGAGCCTGATGCAGGACTAGACCCTGGGACTCTGGGATCATGCCCTGAGCCGAAGGCAGACACTTAACCCACTGAGGCAGACACTTAACCCACTGAGCCATCCAGGTGCCCTAGTATGAGATTCCTGATAGAAAAATGGCAGTTGAGGGGCATTGGGCCCTGGGATCAAGCCCCTCATCAGCAGGGAGCCTACTTCTCCCTCCCCTGCTCCCCCTGCCTGTGCGCTCTCTTTCAAATAAATAAATAAAATCTTAAAAAAAAAAAAAAAAAGGAAAGAAAGAAAAATGGCAGTTGAGAGGGTGGGGATCATCTATGGTAGGTCTGGGTCAGGAACCTGAGAATGTGTTTGAAATGTGGCAAGAGAGCAGGTCTCCTTAGCACAGCTCACACCTGACCTGGGATCAGATCTTGATCCATTACTTACAGGGATTCTTGATGATGACACTATTGCCATCTTTATTTGGGGGACTGTCCTGTGCATTAAAGGACGCTGAGAAGAATCCCTGGCTTCTACTCACTAGATGCCAGTAGTACTGTGTTGTGACAACTACAAATGTCCCCAGATATTGCCACACGTTCCCCCTTGCCCCCTCAGAGCAATGGACCTACTAGATAACCATGGACTAGTCACAGCTTTACGTATGTCTAAAATGGAGCTAAGACCTACCTCAGAAAGTTGTTGGGAGGATTTAATGATGGTGATGTAAAGAGTTGCCAGTTAATGGGCACAGTGCCTAATCAATGAATGTTAGTGCCCTTTCTCCTGGAGAAATACTCTGGAGGCCCCAAGAAGGTGTCCTGACGTGTCTTTGAGCAGAGTCCTCACCTCAAACTGTGTTCCTCACCCTCTTCACTCCAGGTGGCCCTGGGTTTAGTCTGCGAGGCTGATTACCAGCCAGTGGCCCGTGCAGTACGTGAACGAGTTGCTGCCATCCAGCGAAAGCGTGAGAAGCTGCGCAAAGCTAGGGAGTTGGAGGCCCTCCCCCCTGCACCAGGACCCCCACCAGCAACTGTCCCCATGACTCCTGGTCGCCCCAGCGGCTTCCCCCCTGAGCCTGAGGAGCCAGAGGCAGACCAGCACCAGCCTTTCCTCTTCCGCCATGCCTCCTACTCATCTACCACCTGTAAGTCACCCCTGACTGTGGGATTTGGGATGTGACCTAGGTCCCAGAACCCTTGGCCTCTGCCCCCCACCTGCCCAGAAGTTCAATCCAGCAGCACCGTCACTTACCCGGCCTTCCACATCTAGCCATGAAGCTCCTTCTGGGAAAGAACTCCCACAGCTCCAGGCCCCTCCTTGCTCAAGCAGCCCCCCTGCTTAGCCACCAGTCCCCTTTACTTCCCCTTTTTTGATCCCCTCCCTCCCCCACCAGCGGATTGCGAGACTGATGGCTACCTCAGCTCCTCCGGCTTCCTGGATGCCTCAGACCCTGCCTTTCAGCCCCCTGGGGGGGTGCCATCCAGCCCCGCTGAGTCCCATCTCTGCCTGCCCTCGGTGAGAGGGGGTCACGTGGGGGGGGCTCCCAGCCAGTCCAAGCCTATGACCTATCTTTCTCCTTGTGAAACCCAACCCCATGACCTCGCCCCATGTCCCTGGAAATCCATCACTCTGTCCTCATCTTCCTTAATTCCCTCTGCCTAGTACCCCAGGACCCTTGACCCCATTGCCCTGGATCCCAATGATTATCGTCCTCTGACCTCATGAACCCATTTCCTATTTCAGGCTTTTGCCCTATCCATTCCACGTTCTGGCCCTGGCAGTGACTTTTCCCCGGGAGACAGGTAGGTTCTGGTAGGAGTTGGGGTGCTGAAGTGAGACATATGGCGCTCTGGGGTCCCAGTGTCCACTCTGACACTCCTATCTCCTTTCCTTTTCCAGCTATGCCTCAGATGCAGCGTCAGGCCTTAGTGATGTGGGAGAAGGGATGGGACGCATGAGGAGACCCCCAGGGAGAAATCTCCGACGCAGACCACGATCCCGGCTGCGGGTCACTAGTGTAAGAAAGGGGCACAGGGGATGAGGAATAACCTACAGGACCAGGAGGGAAACTGCCAGGGGGGAAGGGAGGTCAGCCAAAAAAAAGGGGAGAGCAGTATGTGACTGGTACCCTAGAGGCAGCCAGTCTCGTTTCTAACACCAGAGTTTGGGGACAGAGTCTGCTTCTCTCCAATTCCAATGTGGCCACTGCCACTTGATTGGAGTGGGGTGGGGACATGTGATGAGGACAGAGGGCCTGACATCCTCCCCTCTGCTGACTTTGAATCTGAAGGTCTCAGACCAGAATGACAGAGTGGTTGAGTGCCAGCTACAGACTCACAATAGCAAGATGGTGACCTTCCGATTTGATCTGGATGGGGACAGCCCGGAAGAGATCGCAGCCGCCATGGTGAGGGGGAGAGAGATGAGGACAGAGTCTTTGGGGCTAGGACAGGAATCTCCCGTCTGATGTCCCCTGGTGCTGAACTCCCCCTTCTTCCCACCCAACAGCAAGGGTTTTTATTTTATTTTTTATTTTTTTTTAATTTTGAACAGCAAGGGTTTTTAAAGCACAGTGACACTGAAGACATCTCTGCCCTTGTATGGGGGAGATTTTTATTTATTCAGTGAGCTTTGGATCCTCGGCTGGAGCAATCTGATGACATAGGGTATACACAAGTGCTGTGGTCAAGTACATGCTACACATGTGATCCTGTGTCTGTGAGTAAAGGGTGGCCTGGGGCAGCAGGGGGAAGAGGCAGAACTTATTCCAGGTCTTGACAGAACAGCAGTGAAGACCGGAAGGGGCGGGTCTAGAGGAAGTACAGCATAAGCAAAGGCATGGAAGTAGGGAGTGACTTGGAATGTGGGGCTTGCGGGGGGCTTCATGTCACTAGAACTAAGGAGAATTGTGGGAGCAAGGTTGGGCATGTAGAGTAGGCACAGATTACAGACAGTCTTAAGAGTTAGAGTGTAACATGGTGAGAATAGGTTTTAAGAAGACCATTCTGCCATGGGACGTGGGAGAGGGTTGGGGGTAGGGAATCCAGTTGGCAGAAAAATACAAGAAACTACAAGTGGTCCAAGGAGAAAATGGATTATGGGGAAAGGGAGGAAGAAAAGGGGTGAATCTGAGGCTTGTTTCAGAAAAATAAGTTACTCCGTAATCCAGGCATTTATTGATGTAATATGGTGCATGTAGTAGATGCTCAGTAAACACTGGATGAGTTGAAATGATAGGGAGTTAGGGAGAGGGGATATCACAGGTGACTTGTAGTGTGGAAAAGCTAGTGGGAGCAGGCCATTAAAGGAGAGAGGAAGTTGGAAAATGAAAGCAGGTTTTCTTAGGGGTGATGATGAGCTTGAATGACAGAGGGGCAGGCAAGATCCTCTCTAGGAGCAGGATATGGTCAGGCAGGGGCTGGATCTAGGATCCATAGGTGGATCTAGGAGTTGTCAGCACAGAAGGGAGAGTGAAGGGAGATGAGCTTGCAAAGCCAGATGCAGAGAGGGTCTGAGAGTGGGTCTCAGCGGATACCCTCTTTTCTGGGGTGGGGTGGAATAGGTCACCAAAGGACACAGAGGTGGAGCCTGAGAGGCTGGAGGAGCCCCAGAAGATGTTAAGGAAAACTGAGTGAACAGAGAGTTTCAAAGAGGTGATACAGGGTGAAGCCTGAGGCAAGACCACACTGGCTTTTGTCAGGAGAAGGTCTTTGTGAGAGACCAGTTTCAGTGGAGTAGGGGAAGTGAGTGCCAGTGGTGAAGGAGGGAGGGGAATGAGAGAAGAATCAGGCTTCAGGAACTCTCTTTAAAGCTTCTCCTCCATCATGTCACTCATCTTGTATCCAGGACAAAGACAAAATATCACTTGGCACACAGGCTTATCATCTTTCCTCTAGCCACACTGGTTTCTGAGTGGTCCTCTGAAGAGGCTGGATGCCTTTCCACTTCTGTCTCCATCTGCTCAGGGGTCTCTTGCCTTGAAAGGCTTTACTAGGCTTCTAAGCCCACTGAGATTCCACACAGCCAAAGTGACCTCCCCCCCAATGGACCACAGGGTCCAATGCCCTCTTTTCTCTCCCTACCATTCTACCCTCCACACCTCTGCAGCAGAATTCTCCTGAGACTTGGATTTGCTCTTGCTTTTTGCCCCTACACCATTAATGGGTAGCCACCTGTGGTTAGAGTAAGGTCCCAGTTCTGGAGCATGGCCTTTGAAATTCACAGTACTCCCAGCTCTGCTGTGGTCTTCACTGCTTTGTGAATGTGCTGTGTGCTTTCATGCCTTAGAGCTGTTACTCATGCTGTTCTCCCTGCTCTTCTCTTCCCAAAACAGCATGGAACAGCGGAAAGGGTGGGCTTTCACATAAGACCTGAGTTCAAGGGCAACCCTTTCCAGTCCCTTCCCTCTTCGGGAGCTTTGTACTATGGCTCAATAAACTTAGTATCACTCAATAAACTTTGCTTTGTTTCCCACCCACCCCCCCAAAAAAGACCTGAGTTCAAATTTCATCTCTGTTATTCACTAATTTGGTGAATTGGAGCAAGTTTTTTTTAACCTCTCTGAACCTCAGTTGCTCATCAGTAAAATGTAGATTATAATACTCATTTTGCCAAGATGTTCTGATATAGTATATAATTTATAAGAAGTAATAGATGTATGAGAAATGAAATTATATGAGAAGTATCCACACATGATAAGTCCTCAAGGAAGGGTTGCTTTCTTTTTAAAGATTTTATTTATTTATTTGACAGAGACACAG